TGAAAAGTCAAATTTAGCCATTTCATATAATTCATTTAACGACACTTGCTCTAGATTAACACCATTCAAACATAAATCATTATCGTCTTCTGATAAAGTGATAAAATCAAACATTGTTTCAAGAAATGATACATTCGATTGAGTGAGATGCAAATCACTAAGAATATGTTGAAGTGGATAATGAGAATGTTCAAGAATTGATAAACATTTTTCTTGGACATATTTAACTACCTCATCAAATGACCAATGCGGGTCAAGTTCAACACGATATGGTAATGTTGATACAAACATTCCTATCATATTCACTAGTTCACTTCGATATCGATTAGCATTGATAGAAGAAATACATAAGTCAGTCTCACCATGAGTTAGTTTGAATATAAAAACATAAAATATAGATAATCCAAGTTGAAAAAGTGTAAGATGATGTGATGATGCATAGTTTAGAAATGATGCACATATTCCATCATCAAAAGTGATTTGAGCTGAAGAAGCTAAACCTGATCGGTGTTGATCAGCTGATGAACGTAGTCGATCAACAGGTAGTGATAACTGACGTGTAAGATTATATCCTTTGAGTTCTAATTGCCAAAACTCTTGAGATAATGTCATATCCATTATGTGTTCATGAATAGAATAGTCAATATATTGTAATGAATTGTTATCTATAAGAAGCAAGTCATTACACTGATAAGCAAGAGAAAGATCACGAATGAAGATTGGTGTCGATGCTCCATCAAAGCAAGCATGATGAATGGTAAATAATATTAGATCATCTTTAGTCAATAGATCACCATTATTCTGAGTGAATAAATCGTTTGATTGTTCACGACGAAGAACATGACAATTAATAACATGTCCTACTGATAAATCAAATAAATCAGATTGATTCAGAATCTTCTTCACAATTTCATTCTGTTTATATTCTTGATCAGGAAGATTAATCATCGAAAATCTAGATGGTTTCTTATCATTGATAATAGCATCTGTATGTAAACAATGTTGAATAATAGTTCCATTTGCATCGAGAGTGAGTACTGTTCGAAGAATTTGATGTTTTGTAATGATAGATTGAAATGCATGTTGTAATCGTGAAATAGATATATGATCATTCATAGATGAAATTCGATAAAGTAATGGAATAACATACATGTTGTTAGTATTATTATTTGTTGATGAAAACCGAATTTGTTCATCTAAATAGATTCTTTCTTGAGCATATGAAGTTTTTGCTACAAGAGAGAAACAGAACATAGTTAATAGAATATTCTTAAACAATCCATGTTACCTTTCATGATATGTAATGACGACCAATGATAGTCATGATTGTCCTGTTTGATACTTTTGATTTGATGAATAAGTTGAGCATGACCAGCAATTGTTGGATGTTGAAATAGATCAGTAATAGAAAGAGAATTCATTTCTAGATGAAATTGTGTTTTATATTGATGGAAGAGTTGCATGATAAGTAATGAATGACCACCAATACTGAAGATATTCGTGTTAGTTGAGATTTGTTTTTGTTTTAATAAGTCGCACCAAATATGATGAATACTAACTTCAATATCATTTGCTGGTAGTACTAGTTTTATAATGTTTGTGAGATGTATAGATGAAAAGTTAGGTGATGGAAGGAGTTTTCGATCTATTTTTCCGTTTGCATTCAAAGGTAGTTTATCCAGAATAATAAATAAAGATGGAATCATATGAGGTGGTAAATGTGATTGACAATGTTCACGTAATTGTGTTTCGTCAATATCGGAACTCTGAATATAAGCAACTAAATGATCTTTGTTCCATTTAATAACGGTACAAGCAGAAATGGATACAATGTTAAGTAAACATCGTTCGATCTCTCCTAACTCAATTCGTTGTCCATGTAATTTAATTTGATGATCTTTTCTTTCTTGATAATGAAGAAGACCATTGTTATCCATTGTAACAAGATCACCTGTTTTGTACCACATCTCCCCATTGATGTTGGTTATTGCTTTTGCTGTCAAGTCATCACGGCAAAAATATCCAGCAAAGATACCTACACCACTCACAGACAGTTCCCCTTCGTGACCAATGCAAACAAACTGTGAAAACTCGTCCAAAATACAACATTGATAATTGGGTAGGAGGTGACCAAGAGGAATGCTTGTTTGATGTTTGCTTAAACCAGTTACATAACAAGCACAGTTGATAGTGATTTCAGCTGGACCATAATGGTTTTGAATTCGACATCGCTCATCAACTGACTTTTGAAATAGCCTAATTTGTTTAATATTCACAGCTTCTCCTACAACCAATTAATTCAAATAAATCGTTAATAATTTAGAGATTGTGCAAAGGACTACTAACCTCCACTGCATAGAGATCGTAACCATTTTACTGCTGCTGTACGCTCATTTTTGGTGAGAAAGTTAAATAAACTAGTCAGAAGCGATGGAACTGCATGCATGACTGTGATCTGCTTTTGATCGAGTACACTAACAAGATATTCTAGATCCATATTGCCTTCCGGTCGAAGCATCACTAATGTGGCCCCGATAGCCAATGTACCAACTAAGCTTAGCAAATGATTGTCAAAAGAACAACGAGCCATCTGTATTATTGTATCAAACTTTGTTACTGTACCGGTATACACAAAGGAGTGCATAAACTCAGTGAAGTTTCGATGCCGTAACTGAACCTATTTTAAGAAAAAAAGTGTAAGAAAATACATCAAAAGCAACAGTTATTATATTAACGGCTTTTGGAATGCCAGTTGAACCACTTGTGAAAATTACAAAGACAACATTTTCTGGTGTTACAGGTACATCTGAAAGTTTGTTTAAATTAATTTTATAAGATCTTTCTTCAAGATGAATAACGGACTCAATATTTAAACTCAGAATGCCGGAGCTGAAAGCGGCTGCTGTAATTGAATGAACCATGACTAACCGACTATGAGCCTGATTGACAAGAACTTGAAGACGTTGTGGAGGATCCCTTGATGAAAGTGGACAATAAGCACCGCCAACCAAGGCTATTGACAATATACCAATGACCTAAGAGGAACACATTACACATGACACCGTTTTCAGAAAAAATCTTCTAAAGATATTTACCATCGACAAACTTCGCTCAATACATTGACATACGACCTCACCTGGAGTGATAAGATAATCAGTAAGAAGAATTAAAGATAAGACTTGGACATAATGTAAAAGTTCAGCATATGTCAAAGATTGTTCATCTAGTTCAACAGCTAGTTTCTGTGGATTCTTTATTACTTGATATACAAATGCATGATGAATACAAGTGACAGATGATGAAAACGATACTTCCGTATTGTTCATTGATTGCATGAGTAATCTTTCATTTGGTACTATTAATGA